GAAACCTATATAGAGGAACATTCAATAGATCTAGATGTTTCATTTGATAAGTCAGTTTTCCTACTTCTCTCCTGTCCCTATGGTACTTGAAAATCAGGACAACAGTATTAAACCGTTCTTTAGACAACTTGAAACTAGTATAGTCGAAGAAACGAAGCCAATACCGAACAATAGGAGAAGCAGTGAAGTAAAGGTGATAAAAGAGATGAAGAAGGAGACAACATCGTTTGATGCAGATATTGACTATGATGATGGAAAACTGCGAAGGGGATCGCTGAAGGATGAAGAGGTTAGGATCTTGCCTTCTGCATATTTTTGCAGATTACTTATTTTTTTAGTTCTAAATCGCTAATGAGATGAAATAAGCTTTTGAAGATGCTAGAATTTAATACGAAAAATAGAGGTGTCCGGAAATAAAACTATAGGGCCAAACTTTCAATTCCAATTCCCTTCATTTTTTATGGAGCTCCAATTTCACCAAATGTTTTTGCAGAGCAATAAAAAATGTTGATATAGTGTTCCGTATCCAATGTCAGCTGGCACCAATATATCTCCGATTAGGGCTGCATTTCCTTCTAGCAACTCATTTTCACAGATTTTCAGAATGTAGCCATTTTACGTACGTTCAGGGTCATGCGTGTAATTGAGCAGGTTTCGAAATCCTAATCAAACTATTGTTCTCTTTCGTTTCGACCTAGAATGAAAACCGATAAAAAAACGGAAAAAGGAATGAAATAGAACATTAAGCTATATCTACCTTTCCCTGATAAGACTCAGACATCATCATTAAAGAATTTTAGAATTTATTTTTTATAACCTTACGTCAAAATGCGCTTTGATACTATACATATATGTTTTCCAATTTGAAAAAAAGTTATCAATTTATAATTTGTCCTTTTGAATCTCCATACATTCAAGGAACTACAAACTACTTCTCTAAAGCATCGACTTTCAGAAAAATCTTTCCTTATCCCATTCCTCGGCATCCGAAGCAAGAGAAAAAGCTCGCAAATCACTACCTACCCTAAATTCCATCATGGGAACGTCTGATGAATACGATCCTGACATACCTAAGCCGGAAATCTCTAGGC